GACAAGCAAAGCAGCAGAATGTCTCTGGGGTTTAACCAGTTCTCTAAGGGTTAAACAGTTCTTAAAGTCTTCTTTGCTGTGGAAATGGCTGGCTGGATCCTTGGTGCTGGTCTTTTTTTATAAAAATAATTTTGAGTTTTGTTCCACATTTTCTCCCATCAAATAATGTGTCTTTAGCACGAAACCTTTGCTTGAGTTTTTGCAATAGTTTGTCCTTTTCTGATTGAATAATTTCACTCAGCAAAATGTCCTCCCAGTTCATCCATGGTATGTGGTGTTTCAGTAGCTTCAGCGTTATTTTTCAACATTGTATAATCTTCCATTGTGTGCATGTACCAAAGTTCATTTATCCACTCTTCCATTGATGGGCATTTAGACTGTTTCCATCCTTTTGCTATTGTGAATAGTGGTGCAGTGAACATCAGTGTGCATTTATCTACTCATGCCCTAGCTCTTATTTCTTGTGGATAGATACCTAGCAGAAGGCTTGCTGGGTCGTGTGGTATTTTCTGTTTGCAACTTTCTGAGAAAGCATCACACTGTTTTCCCGAGTGGTTGAACCATCCCACCAGCGATGTAGAAGGGTCCCAGTCTTTCCACACCCTTGCCAGCATTTATTGTTTTAGGTTTTTTTGCATTTTGTTTTAGTGCTGGGATAAGATGACATTTCATTGTTGTTTTGATTGGCGACTCTCTGATGGAGTCCGGGCTTGGCACTATAAGAAAAGCACAAGACTCCAAGGTTGATTTGAACTGTAAAATCAGAAGTTCTAACTCACCAGCCACTTCTTGGAAACTTTATACAGAACCTCTATGAATCAGAACCGACTTGATGGCACTTAAAAACAACAATGGCTACTCATCATGAACATTTCTTCTTATGTTTGTTGGCTGCCTGAATGTCTTCCTTGGGGAAGTATCTGTTAATGTCCTCTCACCATTTTTGAACTGGATTGTTTGTCTTTTTCTGGTAGAGGTGGTGTAGTTTTCTATAAACTTTGGAGATTAGTCTCTTGTGTGATATATCATTGCAAAAAAATTCTTTCCCAGTCTGTGGACTCTCTTTTTACTCTTTTGGCAAAATCTTTTGATGCACATAAGTGTCTAATTTTTAGGCGGTCCCAGTCATTTATTTTGTCTTCTAATGTTTGTATTTTTAGTTACGTTTGACAGTGTATTTATGCCATGAATCAGAGCCCCTAAGTTTGTTCCTATTTTTCCTTTGACGATCTTTATAGTTCTAGGTTTCATACTTAGGTCTTCAATCCATGTTGTGTTTGTTTTTGTATAAGTGTGAGATATGAGTCTCTTTTCCTTCTTCTGCAAACGGGTTTCCAGTTTTGCCAGCACCATCTGTTGGCGAGAAGTACCCTAGTTCTTGCTCAGGTGCTGCCTTTTGAAAGAATTGGAAATTGGCCACTTATTTTGAGGACAGC